CGTACTTTAACGGCGTCACGTGTTGAATGTTTTAGCATTTTTCTAAGTTCGTAGTCTTTTTTACATTTTTTCTTATTAAAATTTTTATAATCGGCATAATATTAAAATCGTTTGAAGTTTTTAAAAGAACATTTTAACAGAAATGTTTTTGTCATATCAAAAAGTAAGTATAGTTTTTTATATGTACATTTTTAAACGGTTTTAAAAAAATATTGAGGTAAGGAATAAGTATAGAAAAGGTCGGTGTGGAATAGATTTACTAAGACCCTTAGTTTACGTCCGGATAGCTATAGATAAGTATAAAAATGGTCGGTTCGGTAAAGACCCGTATTTTACGGGTCACCCCAGCTAGTTATTAATTAATATATTACTAGTTAATTCTTTTTTATTAGTTTTTTTTTTTTCAAACAGTATAAAAAATCTAATAAAAACCAGCAATTTTTTTTACTTTAACGTTTTTTAACCTTATTTTAAACATGAAGTATAATTCGATTTATTGAACCAATTTTTTTTGTTTCAGTTTTTATTGGAAAACAATTGAAATAGAGAAATTGAATAAAAACATCAACTTAAAAACCATTTAAATGAAAAAATTAATTATATTTAAACTTTTATTAGTCCTTTATTCAAGAAACAATAAATTATAAAAACGTTATTTTTAAAAAATTAACTTTTTATTAAGTTTTTGACAATGTTTTTTGATTTATTGACGATAATTTTTTGATTTATTAATTAAAAGAATTTCACTTATTTGCTTCGTTTTATTTTAAACGTATTTTATGTTATTAAACTGTATAAACTGTTTTACATTAACACAAGCTATTTATATTTTAAAGACAACTTTTGGTTTTATTGTTGTTTTATAGCTTTTTACAATAACAACTAAATACTCATTAAAAACACGTATCGTCAGCGTGATCGTATTAAACAGTTTTCTATGACTATGACTGGTGGAGGAGACTGTCAAAGTATTTTTGAATTTTGTACCATGTTTGCATCTCCTAAAAAAAAAGAAAAGGCCCTCAATTTCTATGATATTTTCAAGACTTTCAGATTCTGGGGTGGGGAGGGGGGTGCATACCCCCATCGTCCCCTGGATCAGTTACTGAAATATAGTAATGTTTGCTTTTTACTCTTATTTTTTTACTTTTACTTTTTTTAAGTATCATGTTGAGCAAAAACAATTACTTAATTAATAGTATTAAATACGTTACTTGCTCATTACACTGTAACTGCAACTTAAACTTTAAATTATAAATTAAGCTGTAAATTATAACATTAACTTACGCTATTTTAAACTCCGCCAAACAAGAAAATCATAAGATAACATTTAAATATGAGAGATAGTATGTTAAAAGATAACAATTCACGCTAAAGAGACAGTTTTATGCTAACGCAACCCCCTTCCCCCAATACCGCACATCGGTGCAAGCTATAAAAGAAAAAGAGAGAGAGAAAGGGAGGGGGGGGGGAGAGGGGTAAAGGAGCGAAATTTTTTTTTTTATGCGATTAGATTTTTTGCCTTAATTCGAGCCCTTTCTTAATTTAATTTCTAATAAAATGTCTATTTAAACCTTATCAATTTGAACCAAAAAAAAAAAAAAAATAGCAAAATTAACATCAATGTTAATTTAACGAAAACATTTTACAATAATTATTTTTTTTATCAAGCGAAAATGAGAATAACCGTCACTTTCGAAACCATAAAAATGACTGAAATAAACTTATTTTTGTACTAAGGAAATATTTTAAATAAACTTTGTCTTTTATATATTTTAAATAAACTTTGTAACAAATGAATATTGATGTGTCTACATCAATATTCATTTGTTAATAACTGACTAAAAAGAGTTTAAAATTTGACTTCTATTCATTTTTGGCCGTAGAATTGCCCTTATAACACAAATATATAAAGAAAAATTACAAAAAAAATTTTAGTATACAAATATATTTTCACAAAATGCTACAAAACTTATTCTTGTAAGTAGTTATGTGTAAGTTAAAAAAAAACGACTTTACTTTTAAATTTAATTACCAATTAATACCTTTGTAATAATGACATTTTGTCTACTTTGTTTAATTTGACATACAAACGTTAGTTTTTTGAGGCAATAGAGTCAATAAACTTTAGACAAGACGCATTTTTTTTAATCAAAGAAAAGCGTTTTTTTGAAAATTAAATTTGTTAGCGTGTTCATTATTACGTTTTAGAAAAAATAATGTACATTGAACTTTTTTTTTTTTAATGCTCTTTCATATGAGATCATATCTTTATAGCACTTAGGGATCCCTTTAATGTAAAAAAAAAAAGAAGCTCAATATTATTAAACTTTTAAAAAAACATTTTTGACGGTTTCCACGGTTTCCAATCCTCTTTTTGACAGTTTCCACAATCCTCTTGCAACTTTTTATACAGCAACTTTCTAAATAACTATCGATAAAAATTGTATGGAAAGTTTTGAATATTTAAGTTTTTAAATACTTTAGTATTTCAAAACTTAAAATCTTAAAATACTTGGTACATTTAATAATCTAGTTTACTAAGTGTTTAAATTAAAAAAATATATATATTTACGGGGCCAACAACACAGAGGAAGAGGAGGGGAGATTTTTCCAGAAATAACTAGGTTTAGAGGACTTTTTTTTAAAAATTGACAATTGTGACACCCCCACCCCCACTTTGAAATCCATGTGTTGTCGGTTCTGATTTAAACATAATTTTTTTTTTTTAATTTACAAACAAAAAATTTACTTAAATTTCTTTATTTGTATTTATAAATTTTTTTACCAGACTATGTTCAAATAGATTTCTTTTTAAAATAAATTCCTAAAAAAAAAACTTGTGTATTTATAGAAAAATGATTAATTTCAATATCTCTATAAATAAAATGAAAATATTTTTAAAAAGATGGTACTGTGTTTTTTATATTTCAAGTTTCATGTTAAAATAATTTTTAGTTAAAAGCTTATTGAGTGTTAACAACATATAAGGTATAAATAGAAACATTTGTATGGTAAACTTTTGCAAATAAATGTCCAAATTAAGTTAATTTAATAGTTGAGTAACTGGTTGTTTTGATGTTGTACTTTATCAATCAAATAAATCCAAAAAAAGGTTCAAAAGCGCCTAATGTTGAATAAAATCTCTGCACAAATGAGCAAATAATCATACTTCTATTTAAAAGTTAAATTTAGTGTAACATACTTTATGGCAATTAATAAAATCCTTAAACAAAAATATACTATACTTTTTAGAAGGTCGAAAAATTAGTAAATTGAGGATTAAAAAAAAAAAATTGCAATAATATTTTTTTAAAGAAAAAACCAACATCGAATGTGAAAAAAGCAATCAAAATTCTTGATTGCGACACTAGCTACTCATTTAATTTTAATAATATGGCTTATTTTCCTCTGATATTTTAACCATTTATACTTGAAATCTTAAAATTTATTTAACTTATACTTAAAATCTTAAAACTTCAACATTAATCCCCAGACATGCTATTTTTACCAAATCTTTAAAGAGATAAAATCATCTTTAGACATCTGCCTGATATGTCACTAAGAATTTCTGCAACAAACTAGCAATGTAACAAAAAAAAATCAATTGTTCTATGTGACATAGATGAGTATTTGATTTTTTTTCTATGATAATCACGGTAAATTATTTTATTAAAAATTGATTGCATTTGACTTTAGAACAGAATTTAGATTATTTAACTTTTTACAAAAAGGAATTTCTAATATTCGAAAAAGTTTGAATGAATTAAAAAGCAAAAAAAAAAAAAAAAAAAAATTGTTACGAAAATTGATCTTGTGAAAATTCTAATTATAAAAAACATATTTGTTTAAATGCAAAAGTTGTCGTATGTAAAATTTTATGTAAAAATATATTAATTTTTTTTCAAATTAATATCAAAAAACATCTGGAAATTTCTGGAAAAATTAAAGGCGTTTTAAGTGAATTTCCGGAATTCCGGGAATTTCCGGAAAAAACTCATCTATGAATGTGAACTTTATATCATCTTTAATTCCCTCTAAGACTCTCATAACTCTTGCATTTTGGTTGCTAACAACACAAAATGTCTTCTACTTTTTGGCCTTTGACCCAACTCATTACGCTGGTTTGAAGACCAAAAGCTCATTAATGCAAAATGCATATGGAAATTTTTACACAATCAGCTTTTCTGGCAGGAGAAACATGTTAAAGCTTGCATTAAGCTTTTATTAATTTATCTGATTGAAAACCAGTTTTAAAAGCACCATGGATTACATGGAGGTTGCAAATCTTAATTTTAAGGAGTTTAGTTTGCTCTTGTTGCTTATGGTGCTTTTTAGTAAGATCAAGAAGTACCTAGTTTAATCTGGGGCCACCCTTACACTATTTTTTGCAGTGGAGTAGCCTGAAAAATGAGATTCAAAATATTTGTATTAAACACAATATATTCACTGTTGAAAACAAATCGCAAAAAAACTAATATTTAGATCCATTTTACATTTTTGAAAAGAATCATTCAGATTTTCATCTAACGAAAAGGTATAAAAGTAGATTTCTTGATATTTTGTGTAAGTATGTGTAAACTATGCCAAAGACCAAAATTATTACCAGGATTTTTTTTTTCCTATCTCAAATAATTTAGCTATTGTGCTATCAGGAAACATTTGGATATAATAGTCCATTCCAACGAGTTCAATGAAAAATTGTTTTGTACTCCATTTTTGTAAAATAAGAGATTTCTGCAAGGTATAATTTTTTTTTTTTTTTTTTGGGTGGGGGTGGGGTGTAGTGGTGGTATCACACACACACAAAAAAAAAACTCAATTTGGTTCTGCAAAACAGCTTAAGCAGATAAAAGCATGAAAAAAATTGTTTAAACTTTTCAATTATGTCAAAATTTAATAAAAAAATGTGTTAGAAAATGTATTATGTAATTTCAGAAGCAATATTAAATTAAAAAAAAAAAAAAAAAAAAATCAATTAAAAAAATAAAAATATATACCATGGAGTGTTTTAATACACTCATATGTTTGAAAGTCCCATATTTTGATAGTCATATCTGCGGAACATGATGCTACAATAACACAAAAATATATATTTATAGAGCTTGTTTTGTTCATAGAGACAGCACTTATAGTATTTGAAAATCTAGATGATCTCCAAAATTAAAGAAATAAAAATAAAAAATAGGAAATAATGAAAACTCCTTTTTTTATATAAGAAAAACAGATGTTAACAAAAACATATAAGCAGGTAAAAAAAACAATCACACACAAGCACAATTCAAAGTTAGTGTTAGATGATGAAAATAAAAAATATTTGTGTCACCTAAATATTTCCCTGGATGATCAAACGATAGATCTTGTACGGCGTCTGTGTGGCCTTTTAACGTTCTTTCATAATCTCCAGTTTCATAATCCCAGACCTAATATTTGAGAAATAATATGACGATTTGAGCTTAACTGGCTGTCAAACTAACTTAGTATATTTAAAATTGGGATGACAACTTACTTTTATTGTGGCATCATCAGAAGAAGTCAACATTAAACTAGAATTTAAAAAAATAACTTATTTAAATTGAAAAAAAGAATAATATAAAATGCTAAAATCCCTTAACATTTAAATTGTTAACAATATTTGTTAATTAAAGTATAACCATTTAATTCTTTTTTATAACAATATAAATCTGTTAATTTTTATAAATGTATATTTAACTAAAAGATTCAACAAACTATTTGAAAAAAATATACTAAAACAAGAAAATAAAAAAATACCTATAAACAGGATGAAATAAAACTTTTGTTACAGGACTACGATGACCACTTAATGTATATTTTTCTGGAGCACGTGGTATCCAATCCTCTACCGATCTATTTTTTTTTGATGGTCCTACGTTAATTAATGTATTACATTTATTAATTTATAATCTAAAATTAACCAGTTGTGAAAACAACTTTTAAAAAGCCAAAATAAACTTTTTAAATATATCAAAAAATTTCTTAAGATATATATATTTTTGATACATTTAAAAAGTTTATTTTGGCTTTTTAAAAGTTATTTTTTAAAGTTATAAACTAAATTTTAAATCATTAAGATACAAATACTACTATATTTGAATTTTAAAAAATTTTTTAACCAAATCTCTTTATCATTTTTTTAAGTTTAAAAAGGTCAAAACAAAACAAAACAACAACAACAACAACAAAAAAACATTATTGAAAGTAAACTTCAAATAAGATAATAAACCTTCAAAACATAAACAATTTTAAAAAAGTACAATGACAAACTGAAATCATTAAAATTTTTTTACAAATAATCTATTATTAAATGCTTCAGCTCATTTCAAAAACAACTTTAATAATGTATATGCTATGGCTTTTTTAATATTAGGCTTTCATAGGAAGGCATGCTATTGCACGCCATTACATGGCCAGGTAAATAATATTGCTTTGACGATTTGACTGCTGCTATTTCAAAAAAAGATTTTAAAATTGCGCTGAATGAAAAAGATTCTAAATTTTATCTTAGAAAAATAAATGACATTGAAACTTTTATCTTTTATCTTAACGCATTTAAATAAAGTAACAAATTAATGATAATTTTTGTTTAAAGTATCATCGAAAGATGTTTATAATTATTTTTGACTTATTATATAAACTAATAAAATTAGTGTTTTAGCTTGTTTAGTTTTATTTTAGTATTTTATTTATTTTGTATTTAATTTAGTATTATTTTAGTATTTTATTTAATATTTTATTTATTTTGAATTAGATTTTTGTTTTTAGGTTTTCATTAAGTATTTTTTATTTTCTCATGTAAAAATTTCTTTTGTAAAATATTTTTTTTTTTAGTTAAGTCTAGGTAAGTTTTTTCAGCGCATTTTTAAATTTTGAAAACATGTTAAAAGTCGTGGTTAAATTGTCAAAACAAAATATTATTTGCATGGTCATATGAAGGCATGCGATCGCAGGCCTTCCTGTAAAAGCCTGTAATACTAATGTTTTCGTATTGTGTGATCGTTTTCATAATACTGTTATTTTTGTATTATTATCATTTTTGTAATACTATTATTTTTGTAATATTATCAGGGTGTTAATAATGTATAACACAGAATTCTCTGTGTTATACATTGTGCCATCAGTCTGGCTAACATAGTAACACTGTTAAGACTGCTGAGAAAACAGGAGGATGAGACAAAAGAAATTGTTACTCCGTATATAAAAAATAGAGCTTATTTTGCTCATTCTGAATCTTCAATTTTTTCCCTTATAGCATGCTCAGATAAGAAATCTAGGAGGTTTGCCAAAGCATCAAAGAAATAAGAAACAGTTCGGAATATAGAGACACTCAATTTAGGCCAATGGAAGAAGGTCCAACTTAACCTTGGAGCAATATCCATACAAGAACTAATCCACTGGGACAAAGGAGATAAATCAAAGAACCTGTGTTTACTAGTCAAATATCTACAAAAGATCTTGGCAATTTCTTAGAGACACCTTTTG